GAACAGGTATATTTTCTTCGTTACTCTGCTCAGCATTCCAGAATCAAGCTTTTCAGTAGCATTCAAAATGTTTGATACTGACAACAGTGGGTTTGTATCTAAATGAAACCATTTCCTCTTAACTTTTTTATGTTAGTGAATCATACATTTCCGTATGTCAAATTGAGTTTTATATTGTAGGTATTGAGGAGATTAGTTATATTCATTAGGTTCCATCCCCTTTACTTTACATGGTAAACCAACTCTCTCGTCTTTTGGTTTCTGTTGATTAATAGGTGGGGTTTGGTTTCATCTTACATGATATGTGATTTACCAAGTAGCAGGCATAGGGCTCCATCAAAATGCAACATTTTGGGAATTTTATATTTGGTCTTCTATTGAATGGAAAAACTCATGGGAATACTTCAATTACATAAAAAGCTTGAAATTTCTACATTAGCTTTAAAGTATGTTGAATGACAGGTTCTTTCCTAGTTTTATCTTTTTTCCCTTCTTGTCATCTCCTTTCTGTTGGCTGCCTTGCCTGTCTTCGCTCCTGTTATTTACTGTAACTACTTAAGATATGATATAATACAGATCTTAGGTTGGTTCTGAGTCCTGAGGAGCCTGGCTGAGATCTCTTTTGACTATGATGCCATGATGACCTACCAACTCTATGTTTCTAGTTGTAGTTGAATGCCATTTCATTCTGAATGCCTATCCATTCTCTTTCCTAATTGCACTGCCTTTTATTTCCTTTTCCTTTTATCTTTGGTTTGCAAGTAATTTGACAATTGTCCATTGATATCTGTATTTAGAGAGATTGATAAGGAAGAATTTAAGAAAGTAATGGCTTTCATGCGAGCTTATAACAGACAAGGAGCTGTCCACAAAGATGGACTTCGCACTGGGTTAAAAGTTAGTGGTTCTGTGGACGATGGAGGTCTGGTGGAGCTCTTTTTTGGAAAGGATGGAAAGGCACGCCTCCAATATGATAAATTTATTCAGTTCATGAGAGATTTACAGGATGAAGTAAGTGCACCCTCTACCCAAAAAAAGGGAAAAAAAAAAAAAAAAGAGAGAGAAACTTTCTTAGTTTTATGAAACAGAACCTAGCTTCTTATGATTATGATCCATGCTTATACAACAAGTGCAATATTGCATGGAAATAGTCTTTTTCTTTTGGATAAAAGTTAAAATTTATCATCAAAAACTTACGTACAAAGCATCTGGTGGGTATGCTACTGAATACAAGGAATCAACAAATCTACATGTAAATAGTCTTGTCATTTTTCTAGTTTTATTCTTGCTGAAAGAGATGATACTCTTAGCACTTGGATGTTGAATTAACCCCTAATCAGGATTTAAAATTTCTCTAAAATTTCTAATTAAACATAAGATTTTTATTGATTCTATCAAAACCTGGATATCCTATTGTTTAGTAGGTAAATAAACCTTCGAGATCCTTTTTTCATGTAACCCATATCATTGCCTGAAATTCTTCCCGTTGCTATTGGAAACACATTAAAATATGGTAGTAAATGTAAGATGAAAGAAAAAGTTAGTACTTGTGCTCACATTATATTGTCTCCTTCGTAACAGCAGTGACTTGAAAATACTACAATTTATAAAATATGTCAAATCATCAGCCATTGTTTTGTGTTGGCAAATTTTAATTAATTGGTTTTGTAATGCATGTTTGGTTTGTTCAGGAAAACCATGCGGAATTGTGCTTTTTTTCTGTCTCAATTATCTATTTTCATATTTTGTGATCAGTCTGCATGTTATTATGATTCGATTTTGTTATTCTCTAGGTACTGAGATTGGAGTTTGCTCATTATGACTGTAAAAACCAAGGAACCATTTCAGCAAAGGATTTTGCATTATCCATGGTTGCTTCTGCTGATATGAGCCATTTGGACAAGTTGCTCGATCGGGTTGAAGAATTAAACAACAAACCTCATCTTAAGGATATTCGCATTACCTTCGAGGAATTCAAAAATTTTGCTGAGCTACGTAGAAAATTGCAGCCATTTTCTTTGGCCCTTTTTAGTTATGGGAAAGTAAATGGCCAATTGACCAAGGAGGACTTCCAACGAGCTGCATTTCATGTAAGGCAATGTCGTCCTTTTCTTTCCTCTAAAAAATTTTGTTATACCGTTTAACAATTTTCAAATGTCAGACTCTTAGTGGATTAATAACTATGCTTGTGCAGGTGTGTGGTGTATCACTCACGGACAATGTTGTTGAAATCATTTTTGATGTCTTTGACTCCAATCTTGATGGGACTTTAAGTGCAGATGAGTTTCTTAGAGTTATGCACAAACGTATAAAAGATGTTACCCAGCCAGTGGAGTCAGGAATTTCTGGATTCTTACATAACTGCTCCATTGGGCGTTTCTTCTCTTAACTTTTTTCCATGCCATGGTCCCTGCTGTATCCCGGATGCTCTTGGTATCTCTCTGGCAGTTCAATCTACTTATTTCTTCACCGTTCAGTACAGGTATGTCTTCTTGAGTTAGAGCTGGAAATACAAAACCAGGGTATTTATTAGCACGCAGTTTTGATCTTTTGGCTGGAAAATGAACAATTAACTCCCTAATTCACGTCGCTGTTATCTCGTTGGGCATATGTACCTGCTGGCAACAAAATGCAAACTTTCATTTCTGGAACAAAGTCATTGTGGCGGCCTTATGTTGTGCTGACCCAAGAATTGTACAGTTTTCTTCTCTTTAACTCAGTATATGTAAATATTTTCAGCAAATAGTTCTTAAAAAATTCACTTACTATTATGAACGATATATAAATTAATGGATGTCTTGCCATCATCCTTTTACCCATTAAACTTTATCCAGTGAACTGTTATATTTATTGAATCATCACATTCATAAAATAGTCAAGCTTTATTTAATGTTTTAATTAAGTTGAATTCATAAATCTAGTTAAATTCATTCACATGAATCTATTCAAGTTTATTTATTAGATTTATATAACATTTATTATCCCCTAACTTATATATAAGTTGACATTGTATGAGACTAAAACTAGAAACTAAATAGTGAAAGGAATATCATACTTTTAGGGCTTTTTCTATGTGTCATATCTTCTCATTTCTTCTTATCTCACTCTATTATCTTATATTTATATATATTCTTACTTTCTCATACTTATTACCTCTTATCTTACAATACTTATACATATATTACAATTTGGTCACCTTAATGTTCGCATGGTTTATTCAGCCTCAAGGGTATCTGAATTTTTGTTACTAATTATTACTGTCGGGATATCCAAAAGGAATCATTCTACATCGTGCTTTTAATGCTCTAAATAATTTGAATTATATTCTTCCAGTAAAGACAATGACTAGAAAACAAATAGTACCAAAATGATTCCAAGTGGGGGCAGCGACTTCCTATTTGCATCCTTGAATGTTATTGTTATTTATGGCTAATATTTTTTAAAATGTTTACTTTTAATCAACAATTTTTAAAATTTAAAATTGATAAAAATGTTAC